AGGCTAGGATGCTAGATGCTAAATTGGGAGCTGCTTTTGAAAGAACAATGTTGAGGTGGGAGAGAGTGCTGGAAGGCCATCCTGCCTCTGAATGGCAGTATATACAGGGGGCACCCAGAGAGGCCAGAATAGCAGAACTAGGAGAGCATTCAAGAAGGAAGCATCTGTGATCTGGGAGGCAGGTTTGAATGCAGAATGTCTGAGCTGTGTGGGTCCCTAGAACCTGGAATATCAGAGGTGGGTGTTCAGGGGACCCTATAACACAGAAAGTAGGAGATGATGAGAGTCTGAGAACACAAATTGTCAGTCTAGGGATCTTACAGACAATATAATGCCTAGGAATAGGCATAGAGTGGAGAACATCAGAACCAGTAGGGCATGGAGGGAAGGGGAAATCGGAGCTAGGTGAGCCATCAGAACATAGACTGTAAGAATTAAGAGTGGCCTTAAAATAACAATGTCAGTGACAGGACAGCCTTTAGAATATATCTGACTTTGGAGAGATTTAGAAAAAATAATATCACAGCCAGGAATGAGTTGTTTGTAATATGCTCAGTGAGTCACACCAATAAATTAAAAAAAAACAATATGAAAAAGAAATTATGCCATGATGGGCAACATTAATTTCTATGTAATTCATTTCAGCTCTGTGGTGATCCTTTGAATTAAAACTCAGGTATTTGTCCAATACAACTAAAGAGCGAAGAGGGAATTGCTGTGCCTTTTGTGGTTCTAAAATAAGGAAAACCAGGCAAAAAAATAATCCCATGCAGTGCCTTGATCTGGTAAGTCTGCAACTGACATTACAATAATTGGATAATGATGAGGAATCTTTGTTGAAAAGATGTTAAACATTGCAATAATTGGATAATGATGAAGAATCTTTGTTGAAAATAATAAGATATTAAATTCATAGGTTCTAAAACAGATGCCATATGCATATGGTCTTTGCAATTACTGTACTACGACACACACACACACACACATACACATGAAAATAAACACTGGAAAATAGAAAGAAAAAATCCTTAGCATGTCAGAAGTTGATAGAACCTTAGATCATAGATATCCACACTGGGAGGTGCTTTTCAAAGGAGAATGTCGGAGGTGGGGAAGAGCTTAAAGTAGCAAATTTGAGAGCTGGAGAGCAGTCTTGCCTCTTGAGTGTTGAAACTTGGAATGGCTATAAGAATCCAGAAAGTCAGATCTGGCAGAGCCTTTAGAACATAGCATTTGTAAGCTGGGAGGTATGTCTGAATCCAGAATATCTGAGCTGGGTGGAGCCCTAGAACCTGGAATATCAGAGGTGGATGTTCAGGGGACCCTATATAACTCAGAAAGTGGAAGATGGTGAGAGTCTGAGGAGACAAAATTACTGAGCCTGGGGCATCTTAGCACACAGAACATTGGCCCTGTGAGTAGTCTGGGAGAGGAGAATGGCAGAGCTAGGAAGGCACTTTGAACAAGAGATAATAGAGCTCATGAAGCCCTTAGAACATAGAGTATCAAGTCAGAGTGACCTTAAAATCCCAGAATATCAGAGGTGGGGCAACACTTAGAACATAGATCTTCTGACCTGTGAAGGGCTTTGGAATAAACAATGTCATATGGGGGAAGCAGTTTTCTTATGTGCCCTGTGGGTTAAGGTATTGGGAAAGACCAGTAAATTTGAAAACAGAGTGAAATTATGCCACAACATAGAACATTAATTTCTGTATAATTCATTTCAGCTCAGTGGTGATCCTTTGAATTAAAACTCAGGTATTAAACCAAAGAGGATAAGGGGGAAATGCAGTGCCTTCTCAGGCTCCATAAAGTGGAAAAAAACCGGGTAAAATGCGCAGTGCCTTTATTTGGTAAGACTGCTATTATTGCTTTTGCTATTATGGGGATTGTTTAATGAAAGCAAAATATAGCGTGTAGTCCATAGGATTTAAAAGGCGACAACATCGTTTCTTTTAGATCATTGTCTTTGCAATGGAATATAATGAAAAGTAATAAATGAAAACCTTAGATATCAGAAAAGGGTGAGACCTCAGAACAAAGAATGACTGTGCTGGGAGGGTCCTTAGAACCTCCGGTGTCCAGGCTGGGAGGTGCCTTTCAACACAAATTTTAAATGTGGGAGAAAGTTTAGAATAGAGAATTTGTGTGCCTAGAAGGGCTCTGGGCTCTGAATGGTAGAATAGGCAGTAGCCATGGAAACCAAAATACCAGATCTGGGAGAGCCTTTAGAACATAGCTGTTCTGATCTGGAAGATATCTTAGAATCCAGAATGCTGGGGTTGGATGGAGCCCTAGAACCTCAAATATCAGAGGTAAGAGTTTGGGGGATCTTATAACACAGAAAGTGGGAGGTGGTCAGAGTCTGAGAACACCGATTTTCAGAGCTCAGGGAAACTTGGCACACAAAATGTCAGGCTGGGAGTACACATAGAATGCAGAACAGCTGTTTTGAGCTAGGAAATGTCTTACAGTCGATGATGCCTGAAGAAGGTGAGGCCCTAGAACTTGAAATAGCAGAGGTGAGGGCAGGGGGGCAGGGTGGCTTATTATTCAGAAAGTGGGAGATGGTCAGAGTCTGAGAACACAGATTGACCAAGCTAAGAGGATGTTAGCACAGAGAATATCAGGCCTGGGAACTGTATAGAGAGGAGAATGTCAGAACCTCTGGGGCACTTTTAACAAGAGATAAGAGAGAACAGGCTCTAGGAGAACCCTTAGAACACAGCAGGTGCGAAGAGTGGCCTTGAAATTACAGAATGTCATAGATGAGGCCCTTAGAACATAGATCTTTCTAATAAATCAATAAACATTTATTAAGTACCTACTATGTGTGTATTGTGACCTGTGAGGGGCTGTTAGAATATTCAGTATCATAGTGGGGAAAGTTCTTCTGTTTGTTTTTTAATGTGCTTAGTGGTTTAAGGTTTTGGGAAACACCAGTAAATTTATAAACAATAAAAAAGTGAAATTATGCCATTATATGTAACATTAATTTCCATATGATTCATTTCAGCTCTGTGGTGAACCTTTGAATTAAAACTCAGGTATTAAACCAATACAGCCAAAGAGAAAAAGGGGGGAATGCTGTGCCTTTTATGGCTCTAAAATAAGGAAAACCAGGCAAAAAATAATCCCATGCAGTGCCTTGTTCTGGTAAGTCTGCAATTGAAATGGCCATTATTGGATATTGAATGAGGAATCTGTTGAAGACAATAAGACGTTAAAATTTAAAAACAATACTGTTGCTAAGAAACATAGGCAGCATAA